GTACCATATAGTAAACCAGAAAGATACTCGGTTCCAGCTCCACATCGCTCTGGTGTCCCATGATGACATCACCTCTTATGCATCATATGATGATTTCCAGCTGGACACTGAAACCATGTTCTTCGGGATACACCTGGGCAGATATGCAGGCAGCGCAGGTAACACTTAATAAATCAAGACTTAGAAAAAATTCACCCTCAGTGACAAATGATGTGCTTTATGAATATTTTCACACATGCACATTTGCATGCCTGTGTGCCTCTCTGTGTGTGTCTTTGTACAGGTGATGCATTTCGTGGCTACGACCAGGATCAGAACCAGGACACGGCTCCATTCAGCGCCTCAGACGTGGACAATGACGGTTGTAATCCTTCCTGCTCCATCAACAACCGCACGGTGGAGAGCTGCAGCGCTCAGTACAATCACACAGGATGGTGGTTCAACCAGTGCGGCCTGGCAAACCTCAACGGCTCTCCTGAAGATGCAGAGCACAACAGGGGGCAGAGGACACACATCCTGTGGGACACCTGGAGACAGAACGGGGTCCCTCACACCATCAAGTCTGTCACGATGAAGATCAGGAGGATTGCAACCAATAACTGACAGAGAGGAGGAGGAGGAGGAGAAACAGAGGGAGAAAGCACATATTGTATAAGTTGCACCGCATCTTTGTACAGCCTGATGTTTGAATAAAACAGGAAGGAAGGATGGAAGGACGTCTCATTTTCATTTTCATCTCATTTTCACAGAAATATTTCTTTAGTGTGACTTTGCTTTGACTCTGGAATGCAAATATATCTGAAATTATATTACAGTTAACAACATACAGATGAACAAACTCAACTGTAAGCACTCCCCACGTTCCTGTCATACAAATCATAGAGGGTTAGTATAAAAGGCAGCGACCCTGAATGCATCTCAAGCTGAGTACATCTGCACTGAGTCTTAGTTACAATGTGACTGGCAGCAGCAGGTGAAACTGACGCTCCTGGTCGAATGAACTACCAACACATTCCAGTAGACGGTGCTGTGAATCTCTCACAACATAGTGTGTTAGTTGAGACCTACACTGTACTTGAGCTCCCTGCAGGTATTTGTAACATTTGCAATTTTACAATAGACCCTATGGACAAATCTAAAAATATCAGAGGTGATATTTGATGTTTATTTCAGCCCACAATAGTGATTCATTTAAATTTGGTTATTTACTTTAGTTTTCATTTTGATTTATATACCTTCTGTTGTGTATACATGCACTCCTATCTGTTAGGATAGAGGAGGGTGCTGTTTTGTTCAGGTCCCATGGGAAACAGCTGCTGGATTCAATGTTTTTCCTGCTCCAAATCTGACCAATAATCTGAGAGTGTAATAATTTAAATCTATGAATGTTTATATCAAAGTACAATCTTCAGCATCATCTCACCATCAGCACAGCACACACGGAATTTGAAGCTTTGTGACTGGACTTTTCTTGAAATGCATGTTGGGAATCACCTCAGTTTTATGTCCACAGGTTGGATTGGGCTCAATGTTTGCAGAGAGAACCAGATGTTTTCTAGCCCAGTTGTTTATCCTTTGTCCTGTTGATTCAACCATTCGCCAAGAGTTTCCTGTCCATCCAAGTTTTGAAGTACTCCATTAGTCTGCTGCTGCCAAACTACTAACTAGACCTAATAGACGCTCTCACATTACCCCAATACTAAAATCCCCTCATTGGCTCCCTGTTGAGTTTAGGATCCAGATCAATTCTCATTCTTACTGACAGAGCATTACACGATCAGGCTCCCTCTTAGGTAGCTTCACCTGTATTCCTCAGCGCTCTCTCTTTGATCAAATATGCTACAATTGTTGTCTGTCCCTCACGCTCACCTCAAAACATGTGGTGATCGAGCTTTTGTGGCCGTAGCAACCAACATTTTGGAAAGCTCTCCCTGCTCCCTGATGCTCTGCTGACTCTGTGGTTTCTTTAAAAAGCCAGCTAAAGGGTAACTTGTGTGCACCAGAGCTGTACTTTTTAAATGTTTGTGTATTGCTGTTGTGTAGTGTGAATTCTTCTTTTTGTCGTGTGTGTGCAAATAGTTCTGCTGGCTGTGCACTTTTCACTGCATGGCTCACGTAGGCTCTGTGTATTCTTTCTTATTGTATATCACCCCTGTGAAGCACTTTGTGACCTACGTCTATATAAATACATTTTACTTGATTACTTTCTCCAGCCATCACAAACCTCAATCATCAAGCATCACCTATACTGCCTCTCTAGCTGAGGATTGGTGGCTGTAATGAACACAGCAGCCTCCACAGCATGCCGCCAGGACTTCAGACGGATGATTGTTTTCCTCAGTAACAGAGAAACACATGTTTCAGTTCACTATTTTCATGTGGGTGTCCAACAAACCAGTTATACCGTCAGTATTTAGGAATTCATATGGCAGATAGAATATAACATTGAATCAGAAACACAACAGAGAAGAGGTATGTCTACTTCAAGTAGAATTATTATTATGCTTATTTAATAAAAGGTGAAGTGAAGTGCAGGTCAGGTTGTCAGGTTGTCAGGTTGTCAAGGCAACTGCTGCACAGACTATAGCAAAACATCCACATCCAGAGAGGACACTGTTTATTTTTCTTCTCCTCCTTCTCCTCCTTCTTCTCATCCTTTTTAGATGTGATAAAAAAACAATGCATCAGTACGAAAGTAAAAATAGAAGTATACAGGAAAACAAAAAATGACAGTGAGAGGATGTGTACACAGTTGTAGTGTGTTCAGGGGGTAAAGAAGGGGGCCTCGAAACAAAGCCCTGGGGTGCTCCGATGCTAAGGATGAGGGTGGAAGAGGTGTGTCTGCCTACTCTCACCACCTTGGGTCTGGTGGACTTGATAAGGGGGAGATGTTTTTTGTCTGCACAGTGCATCTGTTTTTAAAAGCATTGTATGTTTTGTATGAAAATTACAGCCCGGTCTCACTCGTCAAAATCCAGCTTGGACAGTGACTTGCGGTGTCAGAACCAACAAAAAAAGGCGTTCTTTAACATTGGCATGATACACAGCTGGTTGCTGTTGCAGTTCACACTTGTGTTTATAGCTGACCGGTTGCCCTTATAGTTTAACGATGCAACAAACACAGACTTTAATCTGAGAGAGTGGTGTTTGCGTCACGTAAGATTCTAAAGCCAAACCCTGTTCTTTTTTCCCCAACCTAACCACATGCTTTTGTTACCTAAACCCAATCATGTGTATTTGTTGTTGGAAGAAAGAATCAATTTGCGGTGTTGTACTTGTGTAGTGCATGAATTTTTAAAGAGACTGTATGTAAGTTTTAATTTCCTGTGAAAAACGCAAGTATCTTGAAAGAACAGAACTTGACATGGTGTCCCAGAACGTCAACAACTAACGCACCCAGGGTACCTTTCATGTCATATGTGGATGTGGAAAGTCCACGACGAAGCACATCAATATGTGAAGAGGTCGGAGTGAGAATGTGTTGGCTGTCAGAAAACAAACAAACAAACAAACAAACAAAAAAACATCCCACCATTGTGTGGCTGATATGAAGAGTGTCCCATGACCGCCACATTTCCCTCTAGAGACCAGGACACTCATTTGTAGCACCGAAACTTTCCCCTCCAATCTGCTATCGCCTTATTTCTACACAGTAGCACACACAGATAACTGTGTGTGTGTGTGTGTGTGTGTGTGTGTGTGTAAGCGTACATTAACCCAGACAATATACAAATACCAGACCACACAAAGAGCCAAGGATCCCACAGTGTTATCACCAGAATCAGTGGCACTAAAACACACACACAGAAAAAAATGACTATCCAGGTCAGGTGCTTGCCCACTAATTGCCCCCCAATAAGTACTGTGTATGTTTGAGCTGACAGTGTTTACGTCCCAGATCTGGGGTCTGTTCTGTTCTGGGGATGAAGTCTTAACAAAAACTCACACTGTGACATCTGTCAGCATTTACCCCCTTTCACCCTGCCATCCTCCCTGCGAAATGTGACGCTCTTACGTCATGAAAAGTCCAAAGTGACTAATCTTCAGCAATCAGGGCCTTAAAAGGCAATTTTCACTGCTACAATGGTTCATCAAAGACTCTGCTTTATCAGATCTTTGAATGTTGATGTGTCGGCGTGATGTCATGTGAAATTCAGCTTGAAAACAGAGAGGGAGAAGTAATAACATCAGTGACAAAGCTAGCGAGGACAATGAAAAAGGACGCATTAGATATAATGCATTCAAGTGTGTACATGTGTGTGTAATGAAAACACTGGGTGCTGTGACTCACCCTCGACCTGCTGTCGCTTCAGACCGCAGAAATGCATAAACACAAACACACTCATATGTATGTATACAAGTGTGTGTGTGTGTGTGCATGTGTGTGTGTATGTGCACGGTGGGAAGTTGTTTTCCCACACTGGACTGAGATCAGTGGAGAGTGGGAGCACAGGGGAAGTAAAGTCTACTGGGAATTTAAACCCTGAGGAATCTCATCTGCTGTTCATCAGCCATCAGTTTCTCCTGCACACACACACACACACACACACACTGATAAAACTCCACATGTACTCTAAACACTGTGTTTTAAAATAGCATTTAACAGCCTGAGCTTTAAAACTGTTGGGAAAGCACAATATTTTGAGAATAATCTGTTTTGATTTATGTTCTTAATCTTTGCAAATTAGCCTGTATTCTCAAAACAAAAGCAGGGAGTACTTTCCAGAGATTCAGCTTATGCAATTAAGACAAATATAGCCATGTATCACCACTGACCCTCAGTGTGTTCAGTCATAACACTGAGCTGCCCTCCACATCTGTATAGTTCAGTGAGTCGTGTAAATAAAAGTATAGTGGGACCCAGAAGGATGCATTCTTTCTCAAGGACACAGAGACACAGAGGGGGAGGGAGACCGAGAGAGGGAGGGAGAGTCATGCCACAGACACTTGATTACCCCTTCATATGAACCAGGACCCTCTTTTGTTGATCACCTCTGGGAATGAACCACAGCCGACCTGCGGGTTACACCGACAGCCCCAGGGCTCGGAGTCGAGACAACCTGCTGATGTACGATGACTTTGGAGAGGAAAACTGTTGCTCCGGTCGATGGCTCACGTGAGTCTTTCATTTACAGCGCCTTATCAGCCAGATGTGCATGTAGTGGGCAGGTATGTTTGTGTGTTCTTCTTCAGCCACAGGTTTTGTTAGAATAACAGTAGAATTATGGATAACCTTTGGTAACTTAGAGATATATGGATCTTTTGGCTATCTATCTGTTCAATCGTAAGACACTTGTGTAACTGAGGATTGAAAGTATGACATTTTCAAACTTTGGCGTGTACACATTATGTCTGTTGGTATCTATTTTTAGATTTTTATCCAAACATGTTTCATTACAGGGAAGTTTCTATAGGGTAATGTTTAAAATCTAAACTGGTATATTAGCATCTAATACTGAGACTACAAATATAAAAAGTCCCTGTTTAAGTTTGTGATATATTTCTGTCAGAAATCAGATCATTCAACATTTGACCTTTATTTTATTTTTTGTCGTTGAGGGTTTTCTAGTTGGGTATCAAAGGAGTCGTGTGATTTAGAGGGATCTAGTGGCATCTAGTGGGGTGGATTGCAGATTGCAGCTGGCTGAAATTTCTCCTTCAGTGTTCATTGTTATAGAGGTTTTTATTGAGAGCCGAATGATCTGCAGAGGTCTGTTCCTCTCCAAAACAAATGGACAAGGGTGTTGATGAATCGATAAAAACACTGGATGAAGCAGTTTTATGTTGCACGTTTTTAGAGGCAGCTCGGAACAACTGAAGTCATTAAATTCTTTTGTCAGTGGACTTTGGCATCAGACACAGTTGCAGAGAGACATCGCGATGATATGATGCACCTTGATAGAAGGCAGTTTGTAATGCTGCAAGCAAATCCTGTAATATAACAGGCGTCAAAGACTATATGTAATGGAGGCGGGAGGGGAGGTGCATGGGTCAAACAAACTCCAGAGTTCCACCTGGGAGCCCTAACCACGTGCTTTTGCTGTCTAAAACTAACCACGTGCTTTTGCTGCCGAAAACTGTGTGCGTAACCAGCAAAAACTGTACATTTCCTGTGGAAACGAAAGTATATTTTGAAAAGATACAATGCATGTAACAAGCAGAAATTGCAAACTTGCAAACTGCAAACAGAAAAAAATGCAAATTGCCCTATCTAGAGCCAGTGTTTGGTTTGTCTGTTCTGGGCTACTGTAGAAACATGGCAGTGCAACATGGTGGAATCTGTAGACAAGGACATGCTCTCTATGTAGATATAAACAGCTCATTCTAAGGTCACAAAAATGTGACGATTCTTGTTTTCAGGTGATTATAAAACACACTTATTATATTATATTCCCTTTATGCCCATATATCTGCCTAAATCCTACACAGTGGACCTTTAAATCTTCCAAACTGTAAAATAAAAAGCTTGCACCAGATCACTCGGGGTGTTTTTAAGACAAGTGAAGCTGGATTTGTTCTGGTATTACCACCACATATGGAGAATTAATGATTAAATCCTGTTAACTGCATCTTGAGCCTGTCAAACACTTTAGTCCTGGAACATGTGGGATGAAACTGGGAAGTGAAGTGTGGTTTCCAAAAAGCTTTATGTGCTTGCATATAAGTTACGATGTGGACATTAAATACTGTGTTTACGTCTCCTGACTCTCTTGGCAGCCACAGCAGCTCTGAGAGACAGCTCATGGCTCCTCTCAGTGCTGTGAAACGTCGCCAGGCCCTGCGTGGTCCAGCCTACATGTTCTCTGCTCCCTCAGTCAGCCTGTCAGACGTCGAGCAGCGTTTTCTGGAGGCGGCTGAATACGGCAACATACCAGAGGTGCGGCGCATGCTGCTCCAAGTGCCCAACTTGAACGTCAACGCTGTGGACTACATGGGCCAGAATGCACTGCAGCTGGCTGTAGCCAACGAACATCTGGAGGTGACAGAGCTGCTGCTGGGGAGGCCGGATTTGTCCAGAGTGGGTGACGCCCTCCTGTTAGCCATCAGTAAGATGTGTGAATCAGTGGATGTGTGTGTAGAGGGCCAAAAATACATGTATAGGGTACTTTCACTGATATACAGTCATGACAACAAAAAGATTATAAATAAATATCTTAACAAAAAGACCATTGTTACATTTTTACAGGAGATTCATGCTCCACAAAATTAGCAACAGCACTGAGGTCAAAGGAGCCACGTACCAAACCACACTAACAGCTTTGCTTTGTATGTGTGTGTGTGTGTGTGTGTGTGTGTGTGTGTGTGTTTGTGTCTTGTAGGTAAAGGTTATGTTCGCATCACAGAGGCCCTGTTGTGTCACCCAGCGTTCAGAGATGCCAATCGTCTGACAGCAAGCCCTGTTCAAGCAGACATGTTGGATGACTTCTATGCTTATGATGAGGATGGGACGAGGTAAGGTAGTTAAAGCATCATTAAAAAATGTCGTGGCTTCTGACAGCAGTTTAACACTGCGGCAATAAATACCTAAATTTCCTGACATGTTTAAACACATGACACTGTTTAAAGTGTGTTCTGTGCATGCTGCATGTAACAGAGTAAGACTAATATGTTCACTAACTTCCTGATGTCTTTGCTAGTTGCCTGGCAACAGGCCCTGGAGAGGAAATAAACTGAATGAATGAGATTTAACATGCTCATTAGGGAGCTTTAGAGGTGCTGTTAGATAGATACTCTTACCTTTGGACAGAGCCAGGCTAGCAGTTTCCTCCTGTTTCCAGTCTTGGTGCTAGGCTATGTTAGCAACTGCTGGTGATAGCTTCATATTTATGGTATCAGTCTTTCGTCAAGAGAGCAATTTAGCTTATAGGGATGACATCTTTCTGAAGGCAGCTGCAGAAGTTTATGTTGCCTTGGTCCCCCTGTCAAGAAGCCTAGATGGGATTTTTCTGTTGGATTCTGGATTATTGCAGAAAATAAGCTCTGTGGCAAACAAACCGCCTTTTTAAAGACACATAAAATTCTCAAGTGGGGTATTTACTGATGTATTTCATGTTGTGAAAGTCTCTTAAACTTTTGCCAACCACAGACCTTATTTCAGGCATCTCATCAAAACACCATTGACTTTGAGACGAATGCTAACTTAACGAATTTTGGCACTATGTAAATGGCCTTGTGTGTGTGTGTGTGTGTGTGTGTGTGTGTGTGTGTGTGTGCATTCCCACAGGTTCTCTCATGACGTTACTCCAGTGATCCTTGCAGCGCACTGCCAGGAATACGAGATCGTTCACACCCTGCTCAGTAAAGGCGCTCGCATCGATCCCCCTCACGATTACTTCTGTGGCTGCGACTCCTGTAACTACCAGCAGCAGTTTGACTCCTTCAGCCACTCCCGATCACGGATCAATGCCTACAGAGGACTCGCCAGTCCTGCTTACCTCTCCCTGTCCAACGAAGACCCGGTGCTGGCAGCCCTGGAGCTCAGCAACGAGCTGGCCATGCTGGCTAATATTGAGAAAGAATTTAAGGTACAAATGTTATTAAAGATCCCTCAGAATCACCACCAGAATAATTTCTGTCATGGCTGCGCACATCCTGTTAGTGCCCTTAAAACCAGCCTCATCATCAAGTACACAAAAACTATATTTGCCATGTTGCCTCCAACCAGCTGCCAGGAAAAGCTGCCAGTAAACACAAGAACATTTTATGAGCCTTAAGAGAGAAGGCAGAAACAGACAGGGGTCTACATCTTGTACTCTCTATTGACACTGTTGGTCTGACACATATATAACAACTATAATCGTTACTGGTCACACAGTAGGCCTGTATACTCAGGGGTGTCATAATGGGGGAAAGTGGGAATATCTAGAGCCCAAGTTGGAGGAGGTCTCCTCCAAAGCCTGGGATGAAAGGTTTGGTATTCGCAAAATAATACATGTATACATAGTGGAAGCTTTGTGACACCTCTCTCACCCCACCTATGCAAAGGGCCCAGGATTTGACTGACTCTATTTCCTAAAAATCTAGACCACATTTTCTGTAGAATCCTGATTTTTAAATTGATTTTTACTGGTAGGATGCTGCCAGATGGGTGGACTACACCAGTAAACCCAACATCAAACCATATCTCCTGCAATAGATCTCAAATGTTTTACTAACTGAAGAACATTGTGTTTGTAGAACGACTACTGCTGTCTGTCGAGCCAGTGTAAAGACTATGTGGTGGGCCTTCTGGATCTGTGTCGCAGCACAGAGGAGGTGGAGGCCATACTGAGCGGAGAAACGAACTCTGAAGACAGCTACGATCTACCAGGTCGCCCTTCCCTCACACGACTCAAATTAGCCATCAAATATGAACTCAAGAAGGTTAGTATGCTCACACACAGGCCTGTTTTTGGTCATACAAGAAAGGGTTTCATCTCTCAGCTCCATCACTACATGATGGTTACAGAGTTTTTCAAAATACCAACAAATAAATGAACAAGTAAAAGTGACTGTAGTGACAAGCTTGAATGAAATACCTTTAATCGTTGGGTTTGGGGGAGTGTATCAAGTATTCATCCACCTCTAATATCCCTGTGTCCTACTCTGTAATGTCATCAGTTTGTGGCTCATCCTAACTGCCAGCAGCAGCTGCTGAGTATCTGGTATGAGAATCTGCCCGGCCTGAGACAACAAACCACTGCTATCAAAATGCTGGTGGTGCTGGCAGTAGCTATAAGCCTGCCTGGACTGGCTGTGGCTTACTGGATTGCTCCGTGCAGCAGAGTATGTAACATGTATGCTCATAAATGTCACTCACACAACATCCCACATGCATGAACTGCACATTCAATTTCCTGCAGGTCATTTTCTCTCAACCTCCTACTGCTTCATGTTTCTCATTCAGGTTGGGAAAGTGATGCGAAGCCCCTTCATGAAGTTTGTGGCCCACGCTTCATCCTTCACAATTTTTCTGGGTCTACTGATCCTGAATGCTGCTGACCGCTTCGCAGGCACCACCCTGCTGCCAAACATGACCCACCATCATCTCCAAGGATTCAGCTCTGACCCGCTGCTGCTCTACCGCATGACCACGACACCCTTCACATGGATGGAGACCCTCATCATTGCATGGGTCATGGGTGAGCATTAGACCATCATGATGGAGGAAAGTCATGTCCTTCTGTGTGTCACATCGTGTGTCGCTGTGCTACTGCAGGTATGATCTGGGCTGAGGTGAAGGAGATCTGGAGTCAAGGGCCGGGGGAGTACCTGGTCGAACCGTGGAACTTCCTGGACTTTGGGATGCTGGCAATCTTCCTCGCCTCTTTCAGCTGCCGCTTCTCCACCCTGAGACACGCTGACTTAGCCCAGACCTATGTACACACACACTACACAACACTGATTAATGTCACACTGCCCCCAGAGATACACTACTTCACACTGGGTGAGCATGCTCACACAACTGCACAGATTAACAGACCGCCACGCTTTAAATAACATAATTTACTTAATGTATAAACAGTAGTTAGCATGAGGCGGTACATATACAAGCATGCATTCCACTACAGAGATGACATCTGTTGGCTGTGAAAACCAGCAGTCTGCCTGTTTTTATTGGGAACAGGATAAAACACTAGTCTAATCAAATTCTCAAAAGAAGCTTGAAGACAAATTTGGCAGTGGCTTATTTCAGTGAGTGGTTCCAAAGATTTTTGGCTTGTGACTCCTTAATGGGCCAGTGTGTACAATTTAGGGGACTTTAGTGGCATCTAGTGATGAGGGCTGACAATTGCAACCAGGTAAAACTGATCCCGGTTAGAATTCCTCCGTTCAGGAGATTTTCATCAGGAGCTGAATTATCCACAGAGGTCTTTTACTGTCCAAAACAAACAGACCCGGGGATTAAAACTGGCAAAAACACTGAATAATGCAGTTTCACGTTAACAGTGTTCTTCAGCACTGCCCTTGTTGCGGAGGGGCTGTAATCTATGATGGCTGATGAAAAACCTTAAATGGTGTCTCTGTCTATCTGTATTTGAAAAACAAAGATTAGAGACCCAAAAAATGTTTTTTCTATCCCTATAATCATAATAAGTTCAGGCCCAGTGACTCGGTTACATAAATACTCTGTGAAATGATGAATGCTGTGACCTAATTTAATAATTTAATAAAATGCCCTACCTTAAAAGCATAGCTGCCTTCACTTGCCTTCAAAAAATAGTATGAATAGCATTACTAAAGTTTACTGACCCATTTGCCGTCTCTTTTGCAGCACGCATCTACTGGTTGCCGTCAGATCCCCAGTTGGTATCGGAGGGCCTGTACGCTGTGGCAGTGGTGCTGAGTTTCTCTCGGATAGCTTACATCCTCCCAGCCAATGAGAGCTTCGGCCCACTGCAGATCTCTCTGGGGAGGACTGTCAAGGACATCTTCAAGTTCATGGTCATCTTCATCCTGGTCTTTCTGGCGTTCATGATCGGCATGTTCAACCTGTACTCTTATTACCTGGGGGCCAAGCAGAATGACGCCTTCACCACGTGAGAGACACCTGCATTTGTTTGCACAAGTTTTCTACCCTCCAGCAGCTGTGTATTTAGCATTTGTTATTTCAGCTATGAAAATTAGCTTGTATAGTCAGTTGTATGATCAGTTTCTTTAAACATTTTAGTTGGTTTTCAGAAACATGGATGTTATAAAAGCATAATTCACATTCTAGTAATCACTTACATTGAAAAGCTGCTCTTAGGTATTAAAATCATGGATAGTAGAGCATTTTTAGTTAAATACACTGACAAAAAATACCTCACTCTTTATAAGGACTCCAAATTACAGGTTATGGCCTTGGTGTGGACACCAGCTCAGAGGTGCTACCAAAAAGTCCTTTATCCTTCTTAGATTATTTTCATTCAAAGAATTTTTAGAGTCTGGAAGAGATAGAAATATATCAAAATAAAAGCAAAATTACAGAAAAGTCAGAAATAAATCAAATAAAATAGAAATTGTCTGTAAGATTTCGATCTTTCTTGTCTTGTTTATCAGATTGTTACCCTTTTGCTTTATCTTGGGACCCGCTGCAGAGTCCTGACCCTTGTTGGGAACCAACTTGTTCTCCTTGCGAAGGCGTCATCCATCTTAAACAAGCTTTTGTTCTCTGCAAGTTGTACACATAGTTCAAAATGACCTTAAGACCTTTTATTCTTCCGTTGCTTTTCCCACAGAGCATCTCTATTACATCGCCGCTCTGATGATTAACAGTTTGTTTGAATCCAAAAATAACTTTTCTCTCATCTCCCTCCATTTCCTTCTCTGTGCACCCGTCCAGCCTGGAGGAGAGCTTCAAGACGCTGTTCTGGGCCATATTTGGACTTTCCGAGGTCAGGTCCGTCGTGATCAATAACGGGCACAAATTCATTGAGAACATTGGCTACGTGCTGTATGGGGTCTACAACGTTACCATGGTGATAGTGCTGCTCAACATGCTCATCGCCATGATTAACAGCTCCTTCCAGGAGATTGAGGTTTGTCATCCAAATACTGAATCATGATGTGCTTCAGATACAAGCTCACAGATTTGCACAGCATTTCCTGCCTTCACATGTCGCACATGTTCTTATGTGGTCAAAATACTTTCTATGTAATATGTAGTTTAGACCAGAAGTAAAAATTCAGGTAAAACACAATACTCTAACTCAGGGGTGTCAAACATACGGCAAGTGGGCCAGAACCAGCCCGCCACAGGGTCCAATCTGGCCCACTAGATGACTAGACTAAGAGGTGCCAGATTTCAGGAGCAGGTGAAACAATGTGCTGTGATGTAACAATGAATACTTACTGTGATCATGTTTACAGATATTGAACATTGTGCAAAATATTGTCAACCAGCAGCTTCAGTTCAAAAAAATCTTTATCAGGAAATGTGTGGATAAATGCACATGTAATGACAGTGAGAAGTAGACTGACTGAATGTGGAAAAACTGAGACATATTGTTGAAATTGCACTTAATTTTCTTAAGATATCTCAGGCTGTTTGTCTGTTTTGTAAAAAGATGAACGTCTATACAATGTACTTGCAATTCTTTACACAAAAAAGGGAAAATATTGTAGCAGATGGTACTTATAGGTTATTGTGCAATGATTTTATTGGTCCGTCTGAGATCAAATTGGGCTGTATGTGGCCCATGAACTAAAATGAGTTTGACACCCCTGCTCTAGTTTATTTGTCACCAGTGGCAGATCTTCTTTCATGCAACATAAGCAGCCGCCTAGGGCGCTACACAGAGTAGGAGTGCCAAAAATTTTGCCTAGGGCACAGAATGTGCTAGGTCACTGTTTGTCACTGTTGTTCAACATTGAGATGTATGAGTTACGATTTAGATTCGCACTTTAAGTATGAATCACATGTAAAAAAAAACAAAAACAAAACACGTTCCTATTTTATGTATAAAATCTACTGGAATTTTTTTATATCTATTAAAAAAATCTTTACACATAAATTTGTATTAACTTTTCATTTCAGTTGAGTTTAGGGTAGTAAATGCTTTTTTAAAAATGAATGTGCTGAAGATCAAATGTGCACGATTTTGATGCACGAATATTATGTTTAAAGTCTCTGCTGAAGAAATAGTTTAACATTTTGGGAAATAGCCTTTTGCATTTTCTAGCCAAGAGCTAGTTAAGAAGATTGATACCACTCCCATTAATATGAAGCTCCAGCCAACAGCTGATTAGCTTAGCTTAGCACAAAGCCTGGAAACAGGTGGAAACAGCTAGCCTGGCTCTGTAGCTTGAAACAGTGACTTCCTTAAGTCTTGCCTGCGCAGGAGCAGAGACTCAGCGTTCCTAGTCAGGAACATAACCCCGTGTAAAACCATAACTTAACTCCTTTATACATTGGCTTTTGTGTGGACTAAACAACAAGATAGTTACCTATTACTGAGCTTCACAGTTGCTGCTGTTTCCCAGATGTTTTTGTTAAACTAAGCTAACATGCTGCTGTGTGTGGGGCCCATGTGGTTAGTAAATGGTCTGAAAAATGGGCCTTATATCAGACTGTCCACGGTATCCATGTCCATGGGACTTATCCACTTGGGCCCCAGATAAGATGTCCATTTTGGACCCATACTCACTTTGAACCCGCGTAGCCCCAGCATGACCCATGTGGGGCCAACCCACCCATCTAGGCAATTGGCATGGGGCCAATATGGAACATGTGTACAGTCCAATATAGGACCCATATTTCCAGCCAATTTACTGCCCACATGGGCCCCACATATAAATGTTGTTTGGGTGGCTGTAGCTTATTATTTACCGTACAAACTCACAGACAGCAGTATTGTTCTGCTCATTTAACTCCCGGCATGAAAGCAAATGAGTGTATTTCCCAAAATTACTTTTCAGTACATCATTGAATTGTGAGTATGGGGCCCATGTGGGTAGTAAATTAGAATATATTTTCTTCCTTCTGTTTCCCTCTTGTGTTTAGGATGATGCTGATGTTGAGTGGAAGTTTGCTCGGGCCAAACTCTGGTTCTCTTACTTTGAGGAGGGAAGGACGCTCCCTGTACCCTTTAACCTGGTCCCCAGTCCAAAATCTATGCTGGGACTCGCGACGGCCATCAAGTCCCTGCTCCTGCAGTACGTGGCAGGACACAGTGAGAAGAAAACGGAGACACAGCTCAACCAGGTACCATGTTTCCGCCTTGACCATGACATTGAGTGGAGCTTTAAAAGGCAGAGCCTGAGCACCTCCCAGTGGATTCACTGCTGCACCACAGGCTCCACCTCAGACCTGAAGTTTAACCTGTGAAATGTCACACTTGTGTTCATTTAAGTTAATTTCAGTTTAATCTTCTAGCTCGGAGCAGGCAAAGGTTCAGGATATGGTGCTTCTACAAGGTCATCCAGATATCAGGTATTTACTTCTGTGTGTTTCACATCATGTCAGATAAAAACTAAATTTTTATGTGTCAGCTGTCAGCTGTAGTTACTCTGCCTGCAGAATTAGATTTTATATACAAAATAAATGAAAAGCTCCTTCACTACAACTACCCAACAGTACACTACACTGTTACATTTATAAATTTAAGTACTTCTAATGTTAATTCAGCAATAAAATAATTTTCTGAAGAGCTAGTACTTGTGGATCTTTCTGTCCAAATAAAAATTTGAATGTGGGACTATTTGAAACATTATTTTTTCCCATTTTATTACGCTTTGTATTGTACCTGTTCAAAGAGCAACTTTCCATCTCTGGTTGCAGAAAATCATGAAACGACTGATAAAGCGTTACATCATCAAAGCCCAAGCAGACAAGGAGAGTGACGAGATCACTGAAGGTAAAATCAACACAATGATACTAAAACTGAACTGAGCTTGTTTCAATTTCTATGCCCATTTTGGAAATAAAGCCATTCTTGTCACATCTATAGTATTTTTTTCCACTGAATTGTAAATTTTCTATTTTGAAATTAAACTTTTTTGCATGTTTTTTTTTTTCGTCAGGTGAGCTGAAAGAGATCAAGCAGGACATCTCCAGTCTGCGATACGAGCTGCTCGAGGAGAAATCACAGAACATGGAGACACTGGACGGACTGCTGAGGAGGCTGGGAGAGATCGGCACACCTTCATAGCAGTGCTGCCAATCACCCTGACTTGTACATAAAAAAACAACAGCTCAAAGAGTTTTAAGTGCCTGCTCTCAATCATTACATGTAGATACACAAAATATTGATATAAAATAAGAATGTGAATTTGAAATTAAAATGTAGCTTGCAGATGGCATGAGTATGTGTCATTTATCTGTTTATAATGCACACAAAGTAAACTTGTCTGAAGCACATCTTTTAAAGAGAGGATTGTGGAACCATTTTACCGTCCTGAAAAATAATACAGTCCATCATGAGACTTTGCAAGAATATTTACACATTTTAAAACATTTAGTGATATGCATACAAATTATTTGCATATTTATTTCAGTACAAAAATGCCTGCACCTTGCATACAGTGCTTGCCTTCATATCTAGAATATAAAGAATGATTGAAAGAATGATAAATGTGCAAAATAATAAACATAAACTAACAGGTCACTTTATTAGGTACACCTTCCTAGTATCAGGTTGGACCCCCTTTTGCCTTCAGAACTGCTTTAATTCTTGGTGGTATAGATTCAACAAGGAGCTGGAAACATTTCTCAGAGTTTTTGGTTCATATTGACATGATAGCATCACACAGTTGCTGCAGATTTGTCGGCTGCACATTCATGATGTGAATCTCCCGTTTACACATCCCAAAGGTGCTCTATTGGATTGAGATCTGGATTCTGCTGAATGTCGCAGCTGAAAACTAGACTCATCAGACAAAGCAATGGTTTGCTGCTTCCTGCTGTTGTCTCTTTTTCATACCATCCTCTGTAAAGCCTGGAGATGGTTGTGTGTGAAAATTCCCAGTAGATCAGCAGTTTCAGATCAGCCTGTCTGGCACCAACATCTATGTCACATTCAAAGTCACTTAAATCACCTTTCTTCTCCATTCTGATGCTCAGTTTGAACTTCAGCAGGTCGTCTTGACCACGTCTACATACCTAAATGCACTGAGTTGCTGCCATGTGATTGGCTGATTAGCTTTTTGCATTAAGGAGCAGTTGAGCAGGTGTACCTAATAAAGTGGCTGTTGAGTGTAAACGAAAACTACAAATACAAACTGGTCAAAGTATTTGTCTTTTATTTAGACAGCATGAAAATTGACAGACAGTAGAAGGAAGATGTTACGGCAGGATTCAGTCTTAGACCATCAGTTCATACTGTTTCAGGCACAGAGGTGTGACACACAACTATGACACTTTAACCATAAATTACCAGGATTAATTAAAAAAAATACTGTTTTCATATACCTTACAGGCACATTTCATGTATGTACGGCGTTGAACACAAACATAAAAGAGGAACTGATGACATTAAGTGACACTGTCACGTATGAATGGAGGAAAAGTCAGACAACAAGTCAGATTTTAACATCTACTGTGCTACAAAATGGTTAATAACATTTAACATGGTTCACATATAGTAGTCAGATATACATACAGTACATGCATCGTTCATACTTAGCCCCAGTAGTTCAGTGATAGCAGTCACAGTTACATGATGAATATATTATATCTTTGATCAGCAGCACAGAGGATTACTGTTTGCACTGTAGATCCCTAAAATCTAAGTTAGATCTTTGTGTTATTTTGGCAATGACATCATCAGCTCTGTCACATGTATGTGATGTAGTTTTCAGGTATGAGGCCTGTTCTGCCGTTGTACGTCGCCTGAAGCCAACCAGGTTCCACAGACGGGTACACTGCAGACACAGACAAGTCTGCATGTCAAGACAAGGCCCTTTATATATGAAACGACCAATTTTCATCTTTTATAATGACACGCCACACACTCCCTACATGCACAACCCATGTTAACAGTAAACTGCATCTGTCCCACTGCTGGATCATTAATATAAAGACATGTTGAGTGAGCACTATTCAGACCAACAGACCTTTAGTCCAGATCATGAAGTTTCCAAACATAACAATGATTTTGCAATTGTCATAGCCCCATCTCAGTGAGGGGTCAGAGGCCGTCACACAGTAAATTACAGGAAATGTGTTAAAATAAAACCAGAAAAAGATACAAAAAAACCCATTTTGTATTCATTTTGTGATGTAAGTCCTTGGAGCAAGTTGATTAACATTTGTGTTACATTATTATGAAGTGGGTCATAATCTTCTACCTAACTTTGAAAAAACTGAACGGGAGAGTTCACACCAAAATCAAGAAAGCATACTCTTACTCTCACCTGTAGTGCTATTAATCAGTCTAGATTGTTTTGGTGTGAGTTGCCGAGAGTTGGAGATATTGCCCGTAGAGATGTCTGCTTTCTCACAAACACTCACCCACTCACAACAAAACAATCTAGACTGATAAATAGCACAACAGGTAAGAGGGAAAATATGCATTTTGATTTGGGGTGAACTGTCCCTTTAGGAATTTGACACAATCTTTTATAAATGTGACATGTACTTTTATAAATGTTTAGTATTTAAATGTATTACATTTAAATACCTGGTTTAAATGCAGAGACCCCTCTTCAAAGAAACCTGTGAGAAGTTCACTTACCATTTGAGAACAGCGCCCCCTGTGGAAAACTCAGCTCATGGCTGTGTTCTGCCTCACAGGAGTAAAGAGCTTTCGCCTCCCTGGGAGAATAAAAGTAATCAGTAAATATAAGAGATTTAGAAAATGAGCTAAGGAGCATTTCTTTCATCTGTAAGTTTCAATTTGTTTTTAATTTGTGCAAACTTCAAGACTGAAATGTATACAAATACAAGTTCAAAATCAACATACCTTCCTGAGCATATGTCTAATGCTGAGGAGAATACTGAACTCTCGCGCTGCGGGAGTCTGACTGATAATCTGTAACACACAAACACAACATTTGCTCTGAATGCATTCCCTGAAATTTCCAGTTATTACCAAGAAGGTGAGCGTGTCAGTTTCAAAAACCCACTCTCCCACAAAACAGTTAAACTGTGTTCTTCTTAAATAAAGCAGATAAATCTTGAACCAATCAGAAAATAAAGTATTCATACCCAGAATTAGAACAGTGATGTCTGGGCTGTCACAGTTAAAAACAGTCACAGTTAAAAATAGTAGAAAAACAAGATGCCTTTGAAATTTGAAGTTAAGCCAATGCCATTAACATGGATGAATGATTTTGTTTTGTTTTTTAATTTAAAAAGCCACAGGGTCCAGATTTCTCCTTAGTCATTAGTTCAAGGTCCAAAACGTTTCATATATGCAATGTCATACTTGCGTTTGGCCATGTTGTTCCTAAAAAAACAATGTATAGACTCATATAAGAGTAACCCATCTAAACCCCTCATCACTTATGACCCAGTAGAAGTGCGTGGCAGTGTATTTATCTGCAGAGACTCCACTCTGTCTGTATTTTCTTATTCTCATTTTGCTGTGTTTGTGATGTTCCTGGGCACAGTGAAGTCGGGACACTATAAAAAGGAGGTGACCAGGCGCCAAATCATAAGCAGCACTCATCCATAAGGATGCTACAAAAATACCTGGATACAATGCCAAAAAACACTAACAAAGTGAGGCAAAACGCAAAGCAGACAAAGCTGGAGTTGGCTTTCACTTTCATACAGTAGCGACAATTCCTCTATCTTAATCTGTGGGTAGCTGAGACCATGTGTTCTTGTTTTCTCTAAGGGTAATCTATCCATGGCGAGGAAGTGCTATGTGATTAGCGTCAGAGGTATAAGATAGACTTTACAGACACTCACACTGATCCAGGCCTCTGGTATCCGTTGCTGGATGTGGCGGCTGCAGAGTGTCTGGTGGTTATATCGGAGCCACAGCGGACATGCGCAGGTTTACGTCTTAGCATTGCCTCTTGTGGATCCAGCGACATGAGACTCTGTACCGATCCATGACAGCTTTTGTAATCTGGGATAGAAACACAAGAAATCAGAACTAAACATAAAAAGGGAGGTGACAGATACCTAAAACTCTCTTACTGTCATCACACTGAATCTTGTGGAAAGGTACGCACCTTCGGAGATGTGCAGGGAGGTGAGAGAGGAGGATGCAGAAAGCCTGTAGGGGAATAATGAAGAGGAGGAGGAAGAGGAGGAGGAGGCAGTCCTGTAAGTTTTTCTGAGCTGACGAGAAGGAGAGGTAGAGTCCGTCACTTTAGTTTCTGTGACAGTGGTGGAGACACTGGATACATTTCTTTGATCCACTGAATGAGTACTCTTCCGAGAGGAGACAGACGACGCTCTATGAACAGGTCGACCCTCCCTGAGAGAGGAGGCGCGCTCTGCTGAAGGGTGCTGGATGGAGGCAGTGGATGTGGAGGCTATGGAGGGAGATCTTGACTCTTTTACAGACGATAAGGAGGCAGTCGAGTTTCCTTTGACGGACAGACTCCTCTCTGTGGAGAGCAAAGAGGACGTGGAGGAGGACACAGAGGAAGCCTGCTGGGTCGGAGTGATCTGTGAGCAAGTCCGGGAAGAGGGAGGTGTAAGGTGAGGGGAGGTGGCGCTGTCTGTCGGGTGTTTGTGATCTGTCACGTTTGTGGCGTTGTCGGACAGGGAGGAGGAAGAAGCTGCAGCTGGAGGACACACCTGTGTTGCGGAGGGTGAGCTGGACTCGGCAGCAGGAGATGACGGAGGAGAAGTCTGAGACAATCCGTTCTTCTCAGAGGAGTGTGAGGACAGAGACTCCTGACTGCCCATTGGAGTCGTGCTGGGGCTGCTACTGAAAGTGTCACCTAGAGGGAGAAATGCAAACGAGTCACATTATAAAGAGACTGAATGACAATGGCAACATATAAGTCAGTCCATCACAACAAATATGTCAAATAAATGTTGTGACATGAAAAGGTATTTATGAGGGAAGAGATAAAGGAGGCGTAAGCTGCAGAGAGACTCACTGTCATTGTCTGCCAGGCAGAGAGCCGGAGGATAAAGACGGGCCTTCCTCTTCCCTGACGAAAGACAGATGGCCTTGTTCCTCCGAGGAGTCGACCGAGAGGACGGAGCCTGAGGTAAAGGCACCGACAGGTCGGGGGCCTCACCAAAAATCTGTCAGGAACATACAGTGAACATGCCTGTTAGATGTGTCTGTATGTTTGTGTATTTGTGTGGGTGTGTGTGTGTTTGTACGCGCACCTTGTTGTGGTTTTCAATGATTATCTCCACCACGATGTTCTGAAACTTGAT